CCGGGATCCTCTCAAATCTAGCTCCGCGGGGCCTGCTGGCCGTTCTGCACTCCCCTTAGGAGCCGGGAAAGGGAGAGCCCTGGGTTCGCGGCCATCCCTCTCCCTCTTTCTCCCAGGGTTGGGGGATTGCCCCTGATCCCCAAACCCGGCCCAGTAACCAGAGCCTCTCTCCTCCCAGCCCTAGGCTCCGCTTGCAGACCCCGTGCCTCCAGGCCTGGCGCGAAGAGGGTGGAGGGCTTACATGCCGGCTCTCCCCTTGGCTAGCCAGAGCTAGGGTGAATTGCCCCCGATCATAGCCTCCTGCCCTGTAAGTCCCCTCCCCACCGCGCCCGGGCGACCCGGCGGCCCCAGCCCCTGGAGCGAGGGCAGCAGAGCCAGGGCGCTCCTAAATCATCCCCCACCTTTTTTCCAGGGACTAGGCTAATTGCCCCTGCCCCCATCACAGCACTCCCACTCCCGAACCCAGGCCCCGCCGCCACCTAGGGGTCCCCCTTACCCTATGGTTCCAGCACCCCAGCACCGGGAGAAAACAGCCCTCAAGAGCACCCGTCGCACCTCCCCTCTGAGGTTGGAGGGTATTTTCTCCCGGTCTGTTCAAGACTTCATCACGGACACCCCCACCCCACCCCCCAAAAATATCAAACCCCTTTTCGCTCTGCTAGCCAGCCTCCCTTTGGGTCGTCGGGTCCTTGGATCGAGGGTCGGGAGCCAGAGAGTTCAGAAGACCCCACCGCCCTTTCGGACTGGGGTAATTCCAGTGGTTCCCCCACCTCAGAATCAATCGAACCCCCGGTTTCCATGGAGGCCCCCGCCCAGCCGGGAAGACGACTCTCGAAACGCGGCGAACAAGTCTCACCTGGCTTTGGGAGAAGGGGGTGAGGCGAGGGTAGGGTAGGGCAAGAATGGGATACGAAGGTGGGAAGTGGAGGGGAGCTGTCCCGAAGGGAGGGGCCAGGACGGCGCGAGCTCCAGGGAGCGCTACGTCCGGGGACATGAAGAGGACGGCGCCCCTGAGGGGCAGACAGAGCGGCCACTGGACGAAGAAGGGACGGAGCTGAGGGAAGGCTTAAGATAGAAAGAAGCGGGTGGGGAGGGAAGGGGATACGAGAAAGCAGGGGAGTCAAAGGGGTGGTAGGCTTGGGGCAGAAAAAAAAGACGCACCTGTTCCCGGGTCGGCTCCGCAGGGAGGCTCAGGCCGTCACCCGGGCTCCCTCTAACCCCCTCGGAACCGCCACCCGCCTAATACCGCCCCGAGCGGCCGTCCCCCTCCGCCCCTTATCACCACCGACCTCCTTCTCCTCTCGGCGGCGGCGGCGGTCGGACTCTAGGAACTGAGAGGAAGAAGGGAGGGCTCAGCAAAGCGGAGGAGAGACAGAGCCACACACTGGCAGCAGCCGCGGCGAGCTAAAGAGTGAGGGGGAGAGCGGTGTGTGTGTGTGTGTGTGTGTGTGTGTGTGTGTGTGTGTGTGTGTGTGTGTGTGTCTGTGACTGTGTGTGCGAGCGAAGCCTGGTGGAGTGGGTGCCGGTCGCGAGGCTCGACGGGAAGTGGAGTCCGGTGGGGCTTGCGGGCGGTGCCAGCTGCCGCTTCTCGGGACTACAACTCCCAGAATGCCACCAACGCCGGGAGGAGGGGGGGGAGGAGGCGAAGGGAGGGAGGGAGCGAGAGAGGGAGGGACGAAAGCAGGGAGCAAGCGGCGGCGAAGGGGGCAGAGCCAAGCAGCCCCGGTGACACTGGGAGGGGAGGGAAGGAGGAGGGGATCGCAGCGAGGACCGAGCGGATTCCGGAGAGGGAGGCAGCAGTGGCTGCAGCAAGCCGGGCAAAGAGCTAGACTCCTGGGAGAGGCGGAGGCACTCACTCTGAGGGGCTACAAGCGCCCCCATGTCGTCCGTCCCCCCCAACTAACGTCCCTCGAAGCGGGAGGTTGAGGGAGGGAGATGAGCGTGCCTTGGCCAGAGGTTTCGCTCTCTTTCTTGCAACCCTCCACACCTTATGTCCTGACCTGACTTTCTCAGGCCACTGGAGCCCGACCCAGTGTGCAAAACCGGAGATCTTCCCCGCCCGTCCGGCCGCACCAAGTACTCGCATTCCGTCCCCTCCTCCCAGGGGCCAGAGGGAGGCTCCCCTTGGACAGGGCGTGACTCCCCCCTTCTCCCCTCCCCCCTCCCTCAGGCTTCACCACCCTCCATCTCCCTCCCCGGAACCCTCCCCTGAAGCGAGGGCTCTTCTCACTCCCCGCTAAGAAGCGGAGTCCTGCGGGGTGCAGACCCACTCCCTCCCTTGTACTGGGCCCTCTACTCACAGGATCCCCTTCTCAGTACTGCCCACCTCACCGAAGTAATAGTAGGGGCGACCTGAGTTGGACTGGTGTCGACTTTCTCTCCGAGAGCAGCTGTCCTTCTCCACGCTGCGACCCTGTGGAAAGATGAGGCACTGTAACACTCCCGCCCCTCGCCCCGCCGGGCTCAGATCCCCGTGGAAATGGCTCGTAGGAAAGGGGTTGGTAGTAGAAGTGAGTAGGAGGTGAATCCCAAAGCTCAAACCCCAACCCAGGCGTGAAAATCCAGGGATTTGTCCTTTTCCCTAAAAGTCATCAAATTGCTTGGGGGAGGGGGCACGGGGAGTAGATTAGCTAAACCCTAATGTCCACGCGAGTCGAAGCGACGCTACATTGTCAGAATAAGATACGAACTAGGTTGCCTTCGCAGTAGGAAAACTCTGCCTCCCATCATCGTGCACCCCACAACACAGAGACCCAACAGAGTCAGATGGCCTCTAAAAGAGGGGAGTGGGAGTGCTTGGGGTTGGAAGGGCCGAGGCCAGGGATGGTCATCGACCCCCGGGAAGCAGGATCAAGATGCTAAGAGGGGTGTGTAGGGGTGCGGGGGGTGCAGCATAATTGCAGACGGTGTCTTGGCTCGCTTTTCCCGGAATCGCCGCCGAACCCCGTCTAATACTCGGAGTTGCTTACCAGTCAATCCCCTCGCCCCATTTGTGCGCGGGAGGTGGCCGGAGCCGGGGCAACCGGGGCAGAAACTCCGCGGAAGCTGGTCTCCGTCGCTGCCGAGCCGCCTTGGGCCTCCCTCCCTCAGCTCTCGGCCCCGCCGATCTACCTTCGTCCCCG